GCATACTCGGATGCAGATTGGGCATGGTGTACATTTGACCGAAGATCCACAAGTGGATGCAATGTTTTCCTAGGTCCAAACTTAATCAGCTAGAGTGCGAAGAAAGAAGCTAATGTAGCTCGATTATCCATAGAAGCAGAGTATCGATATTTGCCACACACAGCTACAGAATTCACTTAGATTTGCAAAATACTTCATGATATTGGCTTCCCTTCCAAAACTATTCCTACTTTGTGGTGTGATGATATTCTGTAATTTCCCTGGCCTCAAATCTTGTGTTTCACGTAAGAACCAAACACATAGAAATTATTTATCAATACATCCGAGAGTTGGTTCTTGCAAATCTCATCAAAGTTTAGTTTGTCTACAGTAAAGATCAATTGGCAGATATTTACACTAAGTCGCTTTCCAAAAACAAGTTTTGTTACTTGAAATCTAAGCTTCCTATTGGAACTCTTGTTGATTCCAATTTTAGCTTAAGGGGGTGTTTTGATGCAAATGCCACATCATCAAAAGTTGTCACTAGTTTTATTATAACAGTGAATTGTTAGTTGAGATCAGTTGTGGTACAATATGTAATTAGTTGTCGTTAGTTGAAGGTATTACTGTACAAAGCCAAAGGCTGTCACTCTTTCTTGTAATGACATTATTGAGTAATGAAAATATAATTTCACAATTCTGTCTGTTTCTACATTTCTCTATCTAAACTCAAGTTTTTTAATCACGAAGATAACACTATGTTTGAAGGAGAGAAATAAACTTGGAATTTGGATAAAAATCAGAATTTATAAATTGACATGGGTCAATTCCCTTATTTGGATTCATAAACATAGAAATTTAGAATGTCTACATGAAAAAAAACTTAGAATTTGGGACCTCCAATTCTTAAGTTTAAATTTTATGTAAATAGGTGTCATACCCCAATTACTATGAGTGAGAGTTTAAAAATTACAAATTCTGTATCAAATTTCATTGTTCTTTTAGGTTAATCAAATAATAAAATTCACAACAATTAAAAAATAAAATTTCATCATTTTGATTTTTATCATATTAAGATTTCTTAGTAATATTAAATTTCGTTGTCCGGACAGATTGTATAAAATCAAAGAGTCGTACCCGCCCTCATGGCCTGGTCAGTTGCGGCAGTCTTCTCGTCGACTCTTTGGTCTCACGTTTCCCCGCCAAAGCTTTTCGCGCCTTCCCCGACTTCCTCACGACTTCGCGTCCACTTCGATCAGCCCCAAAAGCTTTTAACGAAATCCTCACTTCTCGCAGCGTATCGGTCTCTGCAGCCTTCGATGTCTTCACTTGGGACGAGGTCGTCCGAATCTCCAAACCGGATGCCCTTCAGATCTCAAATGCTACTCCGACAAGATCAAAATCTGCAATCGCAGGCTGGTAAGTTGCCCATTGCATTTTCTCACCCGATTGGTCGTTTGTATCTCCAACCTCCCGCCCAAATTTATAAATTTTATTGAAATTTCTTGCAGGAATCTCAATCGGAGTTCATGCCGTTTGTCATTGAGGATCAAATTGTTGGTTACATTCATAATGAGTAAGCTTAAATTCTGTGAATTCAAATACCCAATTTATGATCAGATGCGTTACTGAATAATTTTCCGAAATTATGCAGTTTTGCTGAGAATTTACGTGGTTTCAAGGACGTGTTTGTTTTCCTGCCAGAAAGTGCAAATTCTCACGGTGGCGCCGGCTCAATGACCCTGTATTCTTCACTGCGCACGGCAGAGGATAGGATGCGAGCAGTGGGAGATGTAATCAAAAGCTTAGGGGAAGAAGAACTGATTCCAGGTATAAGAAATGAGGTAATGATTTTGCTTGAAAAGACTGAAATGTGCTTATAATTTAGTAAATTAGAAAAAGCACACCGACGACTATAAGTTTTAACTGTTGAGTTAAACTTTGGAATCCTTTTCATCTGGATGATCAGCTATACCCTGTGGCATCATCCTTTGGGGCACCCATATGTTTCTCTCTAGAATGTGCAGCTGTGCTGACACATCCCGATCCCGATATTCCCCGAACACTAGGATAGGCACGTGCTGGCCGACATCCGAAGGTGACGCAAGCCATTTAGAATGCATGAGAACAAGACTAAATAAGAAAACATTGCGTAGAATCATGGTTACATTCATGAATTGGGGTCTTCTCTAGCTCCCTCAAGCTCTCCCTCTCTCTCACACGTGAAATTGGTATCAGAGCCACTCCCGGCCGGAAGTGTGCCGACAAGGGTGTCGGGCCCCTAAGGGGGGTGGATTGTAAGATCCCACATCGCCCAGGGGAGAGGAGATGATGTGCCTTATATGTACATGCCCACCTCCCTATAGTAAGACGCGTTTTGGGTGGAAACCCAAGAACAATTCCATGAAGGCGTGGCCCAAAACGGATAATATCTTACTATGTGGACGGGATGTGACATGCGCCTTATTTCATAATAAAGGTTTGTTTTCGCTCTTTGCGTAGCCTTTTTACCTCGGTCTAGGTTCTAAACTATGATCAATTTTTTATGAATGACTAGCAAGCCATTTTGGCTATACTAATCTGCATATGAATGGACCTTGTTCATTGGATTGATTGGTGCTGTGCTAGCAGCGCCGATGGTTTTGTTGTTAGATTGGCTCATGGATATTCTGTAAAAAGATTTTGATAAGGAGGTTTGGAAGGTCACCAGTTCGTGTTTGTGGTGAGAGGAGGAGAGGAATATAAAAGCCTTTGAAGGGTTAAAATTTTGGCGTTGAAGGATTATGTAGTCTGGTCGATTTTAAATGGTTACACAGAAGCCGGCTGACGGTTTTTTTTTGTTGTTTCATTTGTTTTACTTGCTACTTTCGTTTTATTTAAACTTATTTATGTATACTTTTGAAATAGGCTTATGGGGTGCCCATGAATGGCTATGTTAAGAAGGATGGCCAGAAGTTTCTATGGATAGGAAAGAGAAGTCAACAGATATCCACTTATCCAGGGATGCTTGATCCTCTCGTTGCTGGGTGACTGGTTTGTAATGAGCTTTCTTCTCGATATGAGGAATTTAGTTTCTGTTCTTTCAATATTTAGGCTGTGAAAGGGAGGTAGCTTTTGGCAACTAGATTAACCTTCATTACACGACATGTTCTTGAAATTAGACCGCTCAGGTGCACTTTGATGTGAAATGAAGTTGGTGAAACTACGAGATTGAAAAGTTAAACTTGACCTGAGAAATTGCCAGATTTTATGGTTGTAATCTGAAGCAAAGTGGTTCCTTCACAAAAATGATAAAGCTTGGACAATCATTAAGCCTAATATCTAGTTCGCACCCATTTTTGGTAATTGCAGCCTCATGGGATTGCATGCAGGGAAAATGTTGTAAAGGAATGTGAAGAGGAAGCCGGAATACCCAGATCCATTTCTAGTACGTAAGTTCTCTTTCTCTCTCTCTCTCTTTCTCTCTCTCTCTCTCTCTCTCTCTCTGTCTCGTCCACTGATGGTGATGTTGATTTGGAAATGATCTCATGCAGAGCTGTACCAGTTGGAGCTGTTTCTTATATGGACATCGATGGGTATAGGTAAAAAAGGGATGTTTTGTTTTGCTATGATTTAAAGCTTCCTGAGAGTTTTGTGCCAACGAATCAAGGTGAGACCTTTAGAGCTTAGCTTTTACAAATAGTAGTTGTAAACTATGCCTTCAGCTTTGCCATTTTTCTCATCGTTTGAAGTCGGATGACAAATTTTCGCTTTTCTTCATTCAAAACCATCTGCAATTAGTTTCCAAAAAAAAAAATAAATAAATAAAAAAAACCATCTGCAATTGCACCCCCTGTCGGAGAGAACTTTAACAATGCTGCTTACTAACATTTGAGATTTAACAGATGGAGAGGTAGTGAGCTTCAAGTTGATTCCGGTGATGCATGTTGCAAACATCATACGGGGGACTCAAATTTTCAGGCCAAATTGCTCTGTTGTCATCATTGACTTCCTTTTTCAACACGGGTATTTTACTTTCACTACTGACATTCTAACAATAAGTGATACGTTGCAAGAGAAATTCACACCTGGGGGATGCCACTATGGTGATATCACAAACCATTCATGCACGGCCGGGTAATTTAACTACTATGTGATGCCCTTATACAAATCTGATCTTTGCTTTTATCAATGCAGGTACATTAGCCCCGAATCCTTCGGATACCTGGATCTGCTACAAAGTTTGAGGAGCGGCGATTGGTCCTAATTGTACATTTTTCTTCTTTGGTACTGCCTAATTGTGTTTTTTTACTCCTGTTTTTCCCCAGAATGCAGCTGTTTCTTCTTCTCTCTATCGCTCTTTAGTGAAAAAGAAATAATCGGCTTAAAATTTGCCTCGTGTTTCTTTCTTCTTCTTCTTCTTCTTCTCCATGTCTCTGTTTTCCTTTCCCTTTTGTCAACCGACTTGTATATTTCTTTACTACATTCGTTCTTGTTCTTCATAATTTCTTGAATTGCCTGCGAGGACTGAAGACGGTTGCGAAATGCTAACTGCTAACTCCTGTATATCCTCACCATAGCAAACACCAAGCACAGGAAACACCAAGCGCGGTAAACAGGATGTGAAATAAGAACAAAACGGCAAGAGCCATGTAGAGAGACTGACTACGTTGTAAGAAATCCCGTGAGAGTACATGCGATTGTTTCGTCAAGAAAATGAACAAAAATAATGGCACTTGTTATGTTCGGCTTAGCAAAAAATGGAACACCCATTAAAGCTGTTCACAATCGTTAACTTATTCACTCATTTCTTTCTTCCAAAAATTTGAAATTCACAACCACGCCTTTCGTTCTCAAGCTTCCTCCCTCCCTCCATCTATATACATAACACAGTAAAACCTCCTTCCGCACCAAAATCCACCTTCGTTCCCACAGATTCTTTCTTCCTCACCCTCACAGTCCAATCCCCGTCTTTCCCGCCAAATTTCATGTCCAGCATGCCTCCTTCCTCCGAGCTCCAAGTAACTCTCTCTCTCTCTCTCTCTCTCTCTCTCTCTCTCTCTAAGTTCTGTTTGTTTGGTTGCCGAGAATTTTTGAGCAGAAGAGTTTGGATCGATTGGCGTTATTTTCTGTTTGGGTGCTCAGAAACTCAAGGTAACTCGTCGAAATCATAGCAAAACTCTATTCGAGTTGACTCTTCGGTTATTATTCTCTTCATTTTCTAAGCAACCAAATAGAGTCTTATTTGCTTTATTCTTAGTTTTGTCTAATTGCTATGTTTTAACTCAGTCGATCATCTCGCATGTTGAGAATTCGATTTTTCTAATTTTCGTTTTCTTATTTTGGATTGATTGATACAGGACAAGAACAAAGACTTGTCAGTGAAGGTTGAAGAAGGATTTGGACCAAATGGGTTAGGAATCCTATTAATCTCTCATGTATGATTACGTTACTTAATTTCAAATGTTTGTCTGTATTGTCGTTTCAATCTCTTTTGATTCGTTCTACTCCTTCTTTTCGTTTACTTAATTCTGGCATTATGCATATTTGTTTGACAATAGAATTTTCGGTTTGGGTTTTTATCTACATCTGCAGAAAGAATCTGTTAATGATTCGGTTAAAATGATGAAACACAGGCTTATCAGATGTGAAATCGAAATGTTTGTTAGCTTGCCATGAACACACCTATGTCACGTTGGCGTACTTTGTTCTTCATGGATTGTAGATTTTGCTGTTTTGGCGACGATATTTTGCTCCATTATTCCGTTCTCATGTAGTAATCTGATAAGTATTTGCTTTCCAGAATCATTGTAATCGGGTCCTTGAGTTGCCAATTGCAGGTTCCAGGATATTCTTCCTTGCGTCGAGAACTTTTACACCTGTCCCGTAGGTTTAACCTTCTAAACAGGATTTCGATGTTCATTTTTACCTGCAATTCAGATGATTCAGGAAGATAGTTTGATATAGCAGTGGTCATGGGAGTTTTTCTTTTCGTTTATTAGATTAGCCAATCTCCCTGAAGAGGTGAAGAAGGAACTTGAAGATCCTCATAGCAGGTAAGGCAATTTAGTCCCGTCCTTATGTTTTGATTTCTCTTAAGCTACCGGAAAACGTCAATTTGGCAGCCAGCCGCATAGATGCATGCCTTATCTTCTTCTTACCCGCCATCTATTCATAGTTACAATTTAAGATAGATAGGTTCTTAAAACTAACTTGGTACACTTGGTGTGCTAGGTCGTCTTTGGAGAAGATGCAATAGCATGCCAAATTGGCGAAACCACTGAAGTTCTGTCAAGAGGCTATCTTTGTGCAACGCCTCATTGTGTCCGGGTACTATCTCTACTACAATATGTGTGTTTGAAACTCTTCTCTTCTTCTGATGCCCCTCAAAACCCAAATCTCCCTTTGACACCAAGTTTTCCTTTGCATATGCCCGATAATAGTCACTGTTTCGATTCACTGGTTGTTTGTCAGGGCACCCAAGGGAGCGGAGGCTTCTGGTCTTGATCGTTCGACATTTGCATTATTCATGCAACGGGACTGGTTTGTACGTTGATTGTCACCATATGATATCTTAAGCATGGTTGTTTGTAGCTAATCACTGTTCGTTTTGCAGGGACGAAGAGTTTAATTTTCCAGAGGAGCTAGATTCATATTCATAAACAGGTAATGTACTCTTAATCCCAAATTAACCATGTCAGAAGCATTGTTTTAAAAATCTCTGCCTACCGTTGCCTAGGCCCCGTCTCACGTGTGTTTTTAATTATATTTAGACATTTATTTATATAATATAATAAATTTACCAAAATTCGCCTAGTCTGCCTAAGCGCTAGACCCAACCCGCTGCTCGACTTGTGCCTAGTGTAGTGGTGGTGGATCCAGGATTTTAAACTCGGGGGGTTCCATTAATAAAGGTCAAAAAATTTATAGACAAAAATGACATTGAAAAGTTAAATATAATACGTTTCATTCAAAAATCATATGCAAAACAACATTACAAGCTATAAAATCCTAATTCAAGTGTCCACAATGAGGTTTCATAGTTTGAAAATGTTCCATGATAGCTTCATTACCAATACGTGAAAAAACATATTTCTCAATGTAAACAACTAAGTTGTCACACTCATTTTGTCTTGAGCTCGAACTACCCGAACAAGTAGATGGTGCTATTGGCTTTAGCTTGAAAAATCTTTTTCATATTTCTTATTTCTAAACTACACAATTAACAAAAAACACAAAACATATACCAATTAACCAATAAACAAAAATTTCATCTAAATTTCAATGATAAAATGAGTATACAAACATAAAACATATCAACAATCATATCAATAGGTACCATTTGGTACGCAGACGAGATGAGACGGGACGGGACAGGACAGAGGTTCCGTGTATGTTTGGTACGCGCAGGGACGGAACAGAACGGTTGTTCCGTGCTTGCAAAAAACAGAAAACCCCAACCCAAATCAAACAAATAAGAAATCTTTCAGACCGATTTTGAACAAATCGTCAAGAAAAAACCAAGTGGGTATCTCTCGATTTCAAAACTTTTTCAGTAAATTTTCGTTCTTTCTGGCCTTAAAACCAAATTTATCCCAAATATTTTACAGCATAACAACAAATGGTAAAGGATGAGTAATTAAGCAGTGAGCTCATGAGATGTTGTACCTTGCCATGGAAGTGGTGCTTGTTCTTGAAAATGGCGTTGTAGTAAGCGTCCATGCGGACTCGATCGGAGAGCTTCTCCTTCTGGTAATAGCAGAAGGCATAGGTGCAGAAGTAGTTGGCGAAGTCGATGCCTTTCTTCACCAGGGCGCCGCCAGTGTCACCATTGCTGGTGCGGCTTTGGTCCCTGCCACGACCGCCGTTTCTGATAGCTCCCCATGCCCTCGGATGGAAGCGAGGAGGAAGAAGAAGGAGACGGAGAGGTTATAATTTTGTGTTCCACGGATGTGGAACGAGTCGTTCCAAGGGGTGGAGGCGGAACGAAAATTCACCCAAAACTCGTACCGTGGAACAACGCGTTCCACCCGTTTTAGGTGTACCAAACGTGGGACGGAACGCCTCGTCCCACTCTGTTATGTCCCGTCCCACGTACCAAACGGTACCTAATAGACTAAAAATCTCCACCAATATCTAGTATAATTTAATTGAGACTAGATTAGAATACCAAAAAACAGTTAATGGTGGCATGGAGATTTGAAACAAGTGGAAGTATGATATTGGAGTAATGTAATTATAACATGGGATTGGGTGGGATTAGAAATTTAGGGTTTTGGGTGAATATAAGAAAGGTGGGGCAAAACAATATGGAGTGATGAACAAACGACAGCTTTTGTCTCATTGTTTTTTTTTTTTTTTTTTTTTTAAATTAAAACAATTGGCCAAAACACTGCCGTTTTGGACCAATTGTTAAAAATGGTCCCTGTTTTCTTTCTTCTCCCTGCGTTGTCTTCTTCTCCGCTGCAACTTGCATAACAGCACAGACCTTGTGTTCGAGTACGAGGGGTCTCCTGAAAATTTTCTAGCAGCGATTTAGGGTTGCTGAGAGGTCCTGGGACCTCCCAGGTCCCTCTGTAGATCCGCCACTAGCCTAGCGTCTTTCAAAATCTTGACACAAATCAAAATGTTTAAGGCCCGCATTCCTCTGCTCTGCTTCTTTCGTTTTCAATTCGGGTCTCGTGTTTCAGTTGATTCCACCAAACACTGCTCTTTCCTTTGGAGAGTATTCAGAGAAGCTCCTTGACAAATATTACCACCTGAAAACATAAATGATAAACCCCTACGTATTTGGTCGGGGAAATGTTATTGGTACTTCAAAAATCTCATTCTACACTTCTCACAAATGTATTTTTCTTTCCAAATATAGAAAGTTTGGAGTGTACAATGAAAGTTTTGGAGTGCCAATAACAATTCCTTTGATAGATCTAATTACAATGTAGTACCTAAACTAAACCGATGGAAGTTTCTCCACTTGCACGATTCATTTCTTGTTGGCAGATTTGTTCTTCCATCACTTTCTTATTTAAATTGGCTTGTGAATTATCATGGTTGTTTGAGTACCAAACATTTGCATACCCTCCTTTCTTCTGCCACTTGTTTGAGTACCGAACATAGTATTGAAATCCAATCTCACCTTCTACCCGTCATTGGCAGAGATTCTCCTGAATCATCGGAGCATATAATAACTATAAAAACTTGATCTCCTTAATTGTAGATAAAATCTCTCTAACAGAAAGTCATCTCCAACGGTGAACTAAATCCCATAATATAGCCTTAAAACACTAAAAACCTAGCTCAACTAAGAGGGTAAAAGAAAATATTTTTTAAGTGACGGACCAAAATTACAATTAAAACTAAACTTAGAACACGGAATTATCATCGACCGGTCATTTATCATATAAAGCTATAAAAAATTATTAAAGCTCGAATTATATTTAGCCCTCCACTGCTGGAGATGGCCCGAGAGACCCGCCTCGCAAACTAATCCAGCAATCCCGATGATGTTGTAGGCGCCGTTGTTATTTGTTTACTAACAAATGGTGTGACGTGGACAACGAATCACCGCCATTGTCACATACGGTATGTCGTTTATCGAATGCGCGCGCTGGCCGACCTGCAGGTCGCTCTCACGCTCCCTAACACGGCCTTTCGCGTCTTGAAAGATTAAAAAAACGTGGATAATATAGACACGAGGATTGGAACGTCAGCACACAAAACAAATTAGTCTAATCGGATAAGGACAAAAGTGAGACGAGGGAGTTGCATGGTGGGGGCTGCACGTGGACGTTGGTCATTGGACACAGATGGCCCATCTGCATTTCCACACACGGACTTGGATCCTCTTCTGAGTTTAAGAAGAGGATCCTCTTGAACAAATGATTTAGGCCGTTTGATGAAAATCTAACAGTTACAAATAAGGAGATTTTTTTAAAGTTATAATAATTATAGCTATTGAATTTTCATCCAATGATCCAAGTCCTTTGGTCAGAAGGATCTTCTCCTTGGGCTTAGGAGAGGATCCAAATCCTTTCCACACGGCTTCTCCTCGCTTTATCATCAGATAATTGCGAATTGCAATGTTGTCCCCACAATCTTTTGACCAGAATATTGTTCTTGTTTGCGTAATGACTAAAATGCCCTTTGTGCTACAAAAGCTACTATTAATCCACAATTATGTGTTCATTTAAAAGTGTTTTTAAAATGATTAAAATTGATTTCGGATTCGAGTATTTTACATGTTTTTTGAAAAAAAAATACTAAATTGCAGAATGCACATAAAATGTTTTTTCAGAATTCATTTAGATGTTTGAGGGGGTTGATTTCGAAACAATTTTTATCAAAAACGTTTTAAGTTATTTTAAAGCACTTTAACTAGCGATATATCGTAGAATTTGAACGAAATAAGGGAAGGGACAATAACGTAAAATTGAGCATGAATGACTTCAACAATCTGAATATGTGGGACCGGTTACGTCTGCACTCATTTCTCTCTCGAGGATGATCCTAGAAACTATATAAACCACCACCACACCATCCATTCCTTCAGCATTAATCTATCTTGTTCTGTTACCCACCACCGATCTCCGCCGTCACCGACTCGCCATGACAACTTCTTACTTCCAGCAACCGCAAACACACCAAACTCGCCGCTGCAAGAGCCACCGGAAAATGGGGTTCGGAAAACGATGCTTGATGATGGCAAAGCAACAGAAGACACGGTTCTACATCCTCGGACGCTGCGTTTCCATGCTCCTCTGCTGGCACGACCACTCCATCTCAGATTAGATAGTTCCACAATCCGAAACTGATTGGTCCGTGTGATGCAGCGGAATTTACGATAGAAGGATCAGGTGGCAGAATCCTATTGATTTTCTGTTCTCCAAACTCCCCCAAGAGTCAAAACTGAAAGCTGAAGAAAAGCCGTGGTTGGTGGCAGAGCTTTAGGGTCGAAAGAACTCGATCAACGGCAATTGCTTTCGCAAGCCAAGAGAAAATATGATGTAGAAATGAAGCTAAAGTGTGCTTGTTTGTAATTGTGACTTTAGATTTTGCTTCTTTTGACTTATGTGACATACACATACAATAATTCATGTACACATGTTGAGAAATTTGAAAGGAGATCAAAGATCAAATGGAAAACAATGATTCACAAACGTCCCTACTATTTTGTGTTGGTTAAATGAATATATGGGGTTTATTTAGTAGTAAAAATGAAGTGTCTCATAAAACAGGAATGCTAAGATCAATCGTGCGTGCATACATGAACGTCACAGAACATAAACACCTAAATTAGTGCATGAGCAAAACTGATCCTAACAGTCCTCTCATTCATAAATCATATTAGATGATGCCCTGAGAAAGAAAAATTAAAATGTTAAAATCAGTCACACATAAATAAATAGATGAGATGATTTGAGAAATCATGTTTTTGGAATTCACAAAGGAGGGACTTTAGCCTATGAGTGTGATTATTCTAAAACTCATCTCTTTCATAAATCATACTAGACAATTAGCAAGTTCCATGAGGAAGAGAAACTAAATTATGAGAGAGAGAGAGAATGCGACGTACAACATGAGATACGTAAGTGTTTTTTTTTCTTTAAAAAGGGGGGCAATTGGTGACAAGTCACGGTTATTCACTCTTTCTGAGAGTCAGAAAGACTCACAAGGTATTTCAGCCTCTCCTTAACCACAAGTTCGAACCCAAGAACTAGTGTTTATAGCCCCGATGGAATGAGGAAAAAAAAATCTATAGTCTTATTTAATTCATTGAAGTTGCTGCAAGATGTCAATTTGTGAATAAAAATGGTAGATCGGCTTGTTGAGCTATTTTAATCCGTCAAGTTATCTACTAAGAGCAGCAATATATAATATACAATATACAAAAAAAAGTCAGAAATGAGAGTTGTATATGTGCATAAACATTAGATTTGTTTTTTAATTTATTAGTGTTACTATTATATATTTGGTACGTATCCAAATTTCCAAATTGTTCACATGTTTCAAGTTTTAAATTTAGACTTTCAAGTGTAAAATGAATGTTTTTAATTTATTTAAAAGTCCTTGAAAAGTGCAGGGTAATTTCTTTAAAATGCCAATAACATCTCTCTAAAAACAAGAAAAAACTGAAGAGAAAGAAGGGTTGATAATCCCCAATAGTTTGGTGCAAACAGAAATCGAGTTTTCAATTAGTTAAGTTTTGAGACAGAAATATGAACATCCATTTCAATGATTCAATACAAGCTAGGTCAATTGATCAGCTTCTTCTTCTTTGATTTGTGACGTTCAACCCTGCTCTTGTCGCTACACATCACACGCACCTAATACGATTTATATATAAGCATCGTAGGCAATAATTCAACACATTAACTTAATCATATATATTGTAAGTTGTTATTTTAAAGCATCAACATTAAATTAGGGTTACATGCGATTCACACAGACAAATGAATATACATGAACTTACATGGCAGAGCTAGGAATTTAAAATGATGGGGTCAAAAAATAGTTTTAAAAAATTCATCATACTTTCATTTATAATTGTCCACGATGTGTTCTCATATTTTAGAAACATAGTATCACAACATTATTATCAATAGAACCAAAAACATCTTTCTCAATGTACACAACGAAACTATCATTCAACCATTGATCACCCATCTTATTATGATGTGGATTCTCCATAATTTTCATCACCGAAAAAGCTCTTTCAACTAAAGCAGTCGCAACAGTTAAATCAATGCTAATTTCACTAGCAAGTACACCAAAGGATTTGTTTGTCCCTCTTTGTCTCCGCCAACTTTTGTGCAAGGTTACTAATTCCTTTCAACGCAGAAAACTCATTAGCTTTGTTAAATTAAAAAGGCATTAATTAAAAAATATTTTTTATTTTTGTAGGGATAAGTTTAGAAAAGGATAAGTTTACAAGTAAAAGGTTATTGGGATAAGTTTACAAAGCAGCGTGCTGCTGCAATGCTGCTGTTGCAGTGCTGCTATACGAGTTCATACAATTTTCAAAAGGATAACTTGACAAGGTTATTGGGATCAAGGGATGCCAATGCCCCTGCATTGGCTCCGCTATCAATCAATATTCTACAAAAGACTTGCCTGTAGATGTCGCCTTGAAGGAAGAATGTGAAGTAGTCTTCTACTCTCAGCACACTAAATTATTTTCTGCTATATGAATAGGGTTTTGCATATTAGAATTGTGTAGTGCGAGAGCATGGACTGCATCTTTATATGCATTTAGGGTTACTCTCGATCCCACTTATTATTGGAAAGCGATATTTACCCTAATCACAACCAAATCATATTAAGTTTCATCATGATTCCAAATCCTTGTATTTACTTAATAAGGGTTTCTATAAATTAGTTGCATAGTCAAGACTCCATGATTCTTACTTCATTAAGACTACCAGATTGCTCGAGTATCAAGTAATTCAAACGGTAGTTCATTGTCATTCATATAGGGACCGTTTGGTACGTGGGATGGGACGGAACACGCTTATCCTACGTTAGGTGCGCCAAAGACAGTGGGATGCATTGTCCCACGGAACGAAATTTGGTTAAATTTCCATTCCACCTCCCCCTGGAACGACTCGTTCCATCTCGTGGAACACAAAATTATAACATTTTAAGACAAAAATACCCCTCATCTTATTCAATATTTACACCATCTAAATTATAAAACAAACCCTAAAATTCTATCATCTTCTTTCCATCCTCTCTGCCACTGCCTTTTTTCTTCTGGGCCTCTCGCAACCTTCCTCCGCACCCTCTCCCGTAGCCTCTCTTTTCTTTTCTCCCAGGTCACTTGCGAGTACATTTTTCTTTCCCATTTCTCATCTACTTGGATTATTCATCGCTTTCTGTTTGGTTGCCGAGAAAGTTCAAGGAAACCACATAGAAAAATTGAAATTTCAACAATAACAGGCAAAAACAATTGGAAGTTAGCGACTTGAGGTTCCGTGAAATAACTTTTTATTGTCATTGATTAGTTGGTTACCAGATTAGATCATTAGAGATTCATCTCGACATAACAAATTCATGGTTGAATTGGTATTTGGGTATTTTCTGAATTTGGTTATTATGATTACCATTTTTTCCGAATACAAGCCTAGCAACCCAGGCTAACCCAATCCCAGTAAGCCTATTCGAACCCAACCCCACCTTCCTCCTGCCGCTTCCCTCCTCCCTGCTAGTCCCACGACGAGACCGTTGCCCTCCGCTGCGAAAACCTCAAGACGACCCACTTGCAGGACGTGGCCGACGCCGTCGCTTGAGGGATGGAACGGCAAGGATTAGACGGAAGATGTGAGGGATGACGTTGAACTTGTTGGCGGTGGCTCAGGTAAGGTCAAACTAGTCGAAGTGGATGGGTATGATTGTCATTTAATTCTTCGTTCCATTCCAGCCTGAGCGTACACCAAACGTAGCATAGAACCTCCATTCCATTCTATTCTGTCTCGTTTCATCCTATCTACGTAACAAACGGTACCATAAGGTTTTTACATCTATAACTCTTTAAAAGCAACATTTAGTTTATATAAAAAATAATAATAAAATAAAAAAACGTCACTTAGTACAACACCCTGGTCAGTTCTTTTGGATACGTTATATAGATGAGAAAAGCTATCGAAATGTATTTTGGATGTATATTATTAGTGCCTACGTATTTTGGGCATTGTTGCTTTCCACTGGGACGAAGAACTCAATTTCTCAAACACACAAAACTCAAGAAGAAACATCCCCGAGAAAGACTGATATGCTCTTGAGAAAAGGTCATGTGCTTTGTACGTGCTTCATTTAGACATATATTATTATGATTCAATAATTAAGTGAAATTAGTGGACAGTTGACTTTTGAACTAGAGAATAATCAGCCAATCAATGGTTGTTTTTTGTTGCTAGACATTCAGACACACCTAACAGGCTAACACAACTTACACACACACATATATATATATATATATATAGAGAACTGTTATTAGTACTCCAAAAATGTTATTCTGCACTCCTTACAAATGTATTTTTCTTTATAATTATAGAAAGTTTGGAGTACCAAATAAAACTTTTGGAGTGCTATAGTTTCTTAGTCACATGACTCTTTCAAGGTAATTAAGATTTAACAGTGCAGACGCGAGTTATGTTAGCTAAAAATTAGTGCGTGCGCTTTCATGTACTCAAGTACCAATCTTTTTCCTTGAAGATTAGAATATGTTAAGATATTGTCCAAAAAAAAAGTGAGGAAGGAAGAAGAGGAAAATCTTTCTTTCTTTCTTTCTTTCTTTTTTGTCTACATTTTTATCCAATAAGGTAGAAGAGGAAACATAAACCACAAACGTACATTATATAAACTAAGCTAATTAGGAATCGGGGATACCGGACACATTATATATATGCAAGGACGAAGAGGAACCTAAGAAGATATCAACAAACTAAGAACTCGAAGGTGAAGAAGCAAAGTGTTCGTACTCTAGGTCGTATGGCGTGTCCAAACGTTGAGGTGAAACCAGATGCAGACGAAGACGATGATACTTTATTTTTCACACCCATGCTGAAGAATGCCGTTGAGGGCAATCAAGAATCAGAATCTGAAAATGGAACGCTAGCTGGTAATATACTTTTGAAAGTATTGTGGTCTTTCAGTTCATGTGAATTTTTCACTTGCAACCTTCTTAGCCTTTGGTTTCTAGCAGTTTTTTTTTTTTTTTTTTTTTTTTTTGAACAAATGATATTCTCTACACTAAGAGCGTGGGGAGCGGTCCTCACAATGGGCTAACTAGTAATAATGTGGTTTCTTGCAGTTGAGGCGAAAGAAGTACCATAATTAGTAACGTGGACACATTACAGGTTTAGTTGGAGTGCTGATTTGATCGCATTCGCTCTTTGAGCGAGGGCAGTCGTCTGCTGTATGCATGTTCCGGTACTTCATACACTTCTGCACTCACATAAACTGCTTTTTCAACTATATCTAGGTGGCAGAGTCAGCTTTGAATGCCACTATAAAGGATCCAATATTTCACAGGGTTAGGATGTCGCTCCAAACAAGGTCTATACAAATATGCTTTTGTGGTACTTTCCGTCTATGGATTGATTCATCTTACAGGCAATGTTTTGGTTTAAGCTTTAGGCTGCCAGAACGATGCCTTG